AAGTACAAAGCGTATCTCTACTTGGACGAGGCACACAGCATCGGAGCACTGGGACCGCGAGGTCGTGGTGTTGTGGACTACTTTGGTTTGGATCCGGCAGACATCGACATTGCTATGGGTACCTTTACGAAGAGTTTTGGCTCCGCTGGTGGCTATTTGGCTGGTTCGGAGCGTTTAATTGACTACGTGCGTACCCAATCTTATAGTTCTATTTATGGAGGCACAATGCCTGCTCCAGTGTGTCAACAGATCATCACATCAATGCGAATCATCATGGGTCGAGAGTGTCCCGGAGAGGGTGAACGACGGTTCGTCTCATTTTTAATAGAATCTTTTTTAAACTCCTCATACAAATTGCACCACTACTCATTACTGAGGGCGTATTTATAATAGTGAGTAGCAAAGTAATTTCATTGCACTTTTCCTTATCCCTTTGTTCTGTTCTCCCATTACTACACAGTAAAATGTTTAGTGCAAATGGCTCGGCCTCCTTGTTGATGAAGTAGTCTGAGAGGGCCTCTACCAACTGGCTTGCCGTTGTTTCAAGTCCCACACTGAAGGTGAACTTTGTTTTGACAGCTGATGACATTCCGCCTTTACATTCAGTTCAGGAGACTGATTGGGGTTTGGATTTTGTCTCAAAATTCCCTTTAACCACTCTTTTGTATATTCACAAAGTTGGTTATAGACTGATGATGCCTAGTAATTTGATTTTTTTGGCACTGAAGTCGTGCTTCCCTTATATCTTACTTATGCATTGTTTGATGGTTCTTCTAGTGCACCGATCAAGTCATTCTCGAACGCATGATAGGGCAAGAGGCCTCATTATTACCCGAACGCCATGGCGTCATGTCGATAGCGCAGAGTAGAGGGAAAGACTAAAACCTTCCTATAATATGACAGTGTCCAATTGTCCGCATTGATGTAACATTCTTGCCTTCCTTCTTAGAAGTACCACAAACATACCTATCAGAGTAGAGAATTGTGTTTGTGTCATTATTTTTGGCCTGTTAGAACATGTTCATGCACTGTGACCTCTATCAGGCTTTAGGAGAAACATGTGGGTTCATTGCAACGTTTAGGTCGTCAGCAGAGTACACCAACCTACAGCCTGCGATTAAATACACCTTTTAATCTGAGCTTATAGGGGCTTGTGTGTGTGGATGAATTTGTTAAGCATTTGCATTGCCAATTATTGTTTGCATGAGGGTGGTCTGTTGGTTGTAGTTAGCATTTGTCACGAAGACTACCACACCCAATGTCACCTCTTGATTCTGCTGACTTCCACCTCCTTACAGTTCAATTAATCTCACTTTTGTTACTAGGATGGCCACTTGCCTGTCAAATGGTTGTTGTGGTGTCTTCACACGCCTTTAAAGGCTTCTATTTGAATGCGACAAGCGACGAAAAAGCCAAAACTAATGTAAGAGTATTATTTTGTGGTCTTCAAAAGTCAAGGCAATGAGGGCGCAGTCTGCCTTGAATGCGTATGACTGTGAATAGACAGTATTTTCGATGACGGTGATTGCGGGAAAGTTATGCCGGAGATGGAGGTGCCAAAGGAAGTGGTTGTACAGTAGAGAGAGCCTTTGCCTCTGAAGTTCCTTCATGAAAGATGGCGAAGTGGTCACAGTCGTGAAGGCCTTGAGGATACTTTAACGAGGAGCGTCTCCAAGGCTGATTGATAGATGTGAAAATGAAAATGATTACTTGATTGTAGGCTGAAGCAGTTGGCCTGGAATACGCGCTACTTCCGAGCTCATCTTCATCAAATGGGATTGATAGTCTTCGGTAATCGTGACAGTCCAGTCATTCCCATTATCCTCTACATGCCTGGCAAATTGGTCGCCTTCTCACGAATGTGTCTTGAACGCGGCCTTGGAGTGGTCATTGTCGGCTTCCCTGCTACGGCTCTTCTTGCCTCGCGATCGAGATTTTGCATCTCTGCTGGGCATACGAAAGAGATGTTGGATAAGGTGAGATGATCATTCCTCTGTCCAAATGAATTTGTTTTTTACTTTTGAAACAGCCAAAGGAGCGACGCCAGTCCACCGCTTCCAGTGTTCGATACGTTTAAAACGTAAATCGTTGGAGGATTTCCTTTTTGTCATTTAGTCCAACGGGAATGTGTAGTTTTGGGACAACAAAAAAAAAACATTTCCCATTCTGGAATGTCGAATGAGCAGTTGTATTGGAGAGGATTGTGCCGAATTGGGAGGAGCTGGACCTTTTAATGCAGTCGGTCCAAGTGGTTAAGACTCATTATTCCCCGTTGGCACACAAATCCGCCCTCCCATCCGCCTTGGCGTGGGAAAATATCCACAGACCAGTTGCCATTTTTAAAAGCACACCATCAGATGGCAAACAAATCAAACAATCACATCCGCATTTGTGCATACCATAGACATTCAAGTAATCCACTCCTTTTTATGGCAAAGGGAATACAGACGATGAACTTTTGAGGAAGTAGCAAAATGCCTTGGTTAGGGTTGTAAAAGGTGTGTGTGTGTGTGTGTGTCCACCTCATGCTGGTAGTAGTGACGCGGTGGTGACGATGTTTCTGAGGCATCATGCGGGTGGTTGGCGTGACTGATGACTGA